GTGGGAAGATTGCTTGAGGCCAGAAGTTTGAGGCCAACCTGAGCATCATAGCAAAACCCCTACTTCACACACACAAAAAAATTTAATTAGGCAGGAGTGGTGGCGTGCACCTGCAGACCCAGCTCTGCAGGAGGCTGAGATGGAAAGTTCACTTGAGCCCAGGAGTTCAAGGCTGCAGTGAGCTGTGACTGCACCACTGCACTCCAGCCTGGGCAACAGAACAAGACTGTCTCTAAAAAATGAAATAAAATGAAACATTTTTAAATAGAAAATTTGGAATAGACTTAAGAAAACATAGTGGAGCAAACAATTTCTCCTGGGCTGGATAGCCCATGATTGAGTAATCTGGTCTCCCCAGTACGTACCCTACTTTAACTTTCCTGTATTATTAAGAGTTTATAGTTAGTATCACTGACCTTTTTTTCTTTTTTCTTTTCTTTTTTTTTTTTTTTTTTTTTTTTTTTTTTTTTTTTGAGGTGGAGTCTTGCTCTGTCTGGAGTGTGGTGGCACGATCTTGGCTCACTGCAACCTCTGCCTCCTGAGTTCAAGCAATTCTCGTGCCTCAGCTTCCCTACTAGCTAGAATTACAGGTGTCTGCCACCACACCCAGCTAATTTTTGTATTTTTAGTAGAGACGAGTTTCACCGTGTTGGCCAGGCTGGTCTCAAACTCCTGGCCTCAAGTGATCTGCCTGCCTCAGCCTCCCACAGTGCTTTGCCTGTCCTTGATGAACACACACTACAAGACAAGGACACTAAATATGTCAACATTCTTCCATTTGAAGAGCTCTTCTCCCCACTTCCATCCAGCAACATCTATAAGCATTCCATCCACTTGGTGAGGTGTGGTGGCTAACACCTGTAATCCCAGCATTTGGAAGGCTAAAGTGGGAGGATTGCTTGAAGCCAAGAGTTTGAGACCAGCCTGGACAACATAGCAAGACCCATGTCTCAAAAAAATAATAATAATAAGTTCTTAAATTAGCTGGGCACAGTGGAATGTGCCTATAGTTCCAGCTGCTCCAGAGGCTGAGGCAGGAGGATCTCTTGAGCCCAGGAGTTCAAGGCTGCAGTGAGCTATGATTACACCACTGCACTCCAGCCTGGGCGACAGAGTGAGACCCTGTCTCTAAATAGATCAACATGTAAGAATTTCATCTCTCGCTTTGGCTTTCTGTAGAAACTCATTCCATAGGAAGCTGTGTACAGTAAAAACATGTAGAAGCCAGACAGTATTATTCTCCCCCTGGGTCTGGAAAGTGACTTATCACACACCCCCACCCTCCAGTAACTATAAACAAAGCTGTCCCTGAGGCCATCTCTATTGAAGCTACCAACACTTGAACCAAAAATCTATTTGTTTTATATATAGAAGCTAAAAGCAGTCTTAAATGAACGCTTCCAATTTCTATTGCCTGTAAGCAATCGCATATTTATTACTGACCTGACAGTTTGACCTACCACAACCATAAACCAAATGAGCACTGTTTTGCTCAGCTTTAAAGATAGTTATCAGTCACATAATAACAAAAACACTCTGAGTGGCTGCTGGGATGCTTTTTTTTTTTTTTTTTTTTTTGCGTTATTATTGGCAAAGGCAATGATGTGCGTTCTCAAATGAAAAATCAATGAGAATGGTGAAAACCAAGCTATCAGGCATCTCTTAGTTAAACTGTATAAAGGAAATGCTTCTTTACCGCTTTGCATCGAGTCCATCCTAATGCAAAGGAAACATAAAAGATTTGAGGGAGGCAATTGATGTCAGGACTGTGAAGGGTTAAATAGGAAAGCAAAAGCCCTTTGCAGTGTGGAATTCTTGACCCTGTGGAGTACAGGAAATGTGACTTTGGACTCAATGCGATGAGCAGAAAACAACATTTTATTTTATTTTATTTTATTTGAGACGAAGTTGTGCCCTGTTGCCCAGGCCGGAATGCAGTGGCACAATCTCGGCTCACTGCAACCTCCAACTCCCAGGTTCAAGCGATTCTCTTGCCTCAGCCTCCTGAGTAGCTGGGACTACAGGCAACTGCCACCAAACCTGGCTAATTTTTTTTTTTTTTTTTTGTAGTTTTAGTAGAGACGGGGTTTCTTCATGTTGGTCAGGCTAGTCTCAAACTCCTGGCCTCAGGTGATCTGCCTGCCTTGGCCTCCCAATGTGCTGGGATTACAGGCGTGAGCCACTGCTCCCAGCCGAAAACAATATTTTAACAAGTGCTACTGCAGCGAAAAGTGGTAGCCCCAGAACTGTGGTTTCCAGTTTGCTTTTTTAGCCCATCTTTTAGTTTTTGCCCAAATAGTGGACACTTATCATAAGGGGCCTTGGATGAGTCACATGTCCCTTCAGTCTGCCTTTATAAGCCGCCTTCCGTGAGTGACTTTTACAAGCTCTTAAAATGGAGGCAGCTGAGCTTCTTCCTCCTGTGGGTCCAAGGAAACCAGGTGTGGGGAAGTCTGCCTCTTCCACTGGCCACCGCGCCACTGTGCTGCAGCCTGGGTGACAGTGTGTGACTGCATCTCAAAAAAAAAAAAAAAAAAAAAAAAAAAAAAGTCAACTAGGGAAAAATGAATGCATAGAGAGCAAGTTTGTAGACTGGGAAGTACAGAAACGGGTGGGCCCCCAGTGTGGGTGCTGTAAGTATCGGAGGAGGAGCCCCCATGCCACCTGCTGTGTGGTTTGGGAAGACTTTCTGGAGCAGAGATATGAGAGCTGATTCCTGCAGAATGGGCAGGACCTCGCTGGGGAAGAAGGAAGGGAAAGGCGTACTGGGGCGAGGGAACAGCATGAGCAGAGGCACAGAGGTTTGAAACATCGTGGTACCTGTCGGGCATTATCAGGCATGGGCAGAGATGACATTGGCACCCAGGCCTTCTGTTTCCTGGTCTTGTGTTCTAGTCAGAACGGAATTTATCCCAGCTCTCTGGAAGAAGTTGGTCCTGTTATTTTACTTACAGTATCATCTTCCGTTTATTTATTTATTTTTCTTATTTTTTAGAACATATTAGCAATTCTCAAGACATCTTGCTGGAAGTATCTGGGGTGAAAAGCAAACCATACACAGGGTCTTAGAACGTTACACTTACAGCCAGGGGCAGTGGCTCACGCCTTTAATCCCAGCACATTGGAAGGCTGAGGCAAGAGATCTTCAGAGGGCAACCACTTTGCAGGCAGAAAGCCTAGCCTGTGCAAAGGCCCTGGGGTCGGGGAGGACTCTAGAGTCTTAGTGTCCTGTGCATTGAATACTGAGCTGGAGTGCAATGGTGTCATCTCAGCTCACTGCAACCTCCACCCCCTGTGTTCAAGCAATTCTCCTGCCTCAGCCTCCAGAGTAGCTGTGATTACAGGCACGTGCCACTACGCCAATTGATGTTTGTATTTTTAGTAGAGATGAGGTTTCATCATGTTGGCTGGGCTGATCTCAAACTGCAGACCTCAAGTGACTTGCTCACCTCGGCCTCCCAAAGTGCTGTGATTACAGGCGTGAGCCACTGAGCCCGGCTTTTTCATTTGTGTTTTACTTTTCCTATGTTCAGAGCAAAGTAACAAAAAAATTAAGTTAATGGACATTTTTTTTTTCGACTGGAGGTTCTTGGAAGAAGTTCCTCAGGTGGCCAGTATTCTAAGGCAGATTCGCCAGGCTTCCCTACAGCCACAGGTGTGGGCTTTGTGGAAAGGGATTTTTTTTTCCCTCGTGTGTCAAAGGTGCAGTTTGAAGCCTCAGAAAGGGGATGGAAGCCGCTTGTGTGTGTTCTCTCTTTCCTTTTCAGAGTTCTGAGCGTGTGCTCAGAGGGGCAGGCGTTCTTAGACAGTGATGTAGGCAGATTTTGTTTCTCGTTATCCACAGTCTTTTGCACACATGTCACACAGCATCAGCCACTCGGGGAAATGAGTGAGGTCGCTCAAGTCTATTCCACGTGGGTTTACTCTGTAAAGTGATTATAGGACTGTCTCCTCCAGGAGGATGGGCAGACATTGGAAACAGACAGGAGGGGAAAGGAAAGAGTAGATTCTTGAGCTCAGTTGTTCTGTGGCTTTGCCCCACTCTTCCAAGACTAACCTCCAAGACGTGGCCTTCGGGGCTGTCCCTAGCCTCATGGCTTTCCACTCACAGGACAGTGAGATCCCCAACCCCAGGGCCTTTGCACAGGCCAGTCTCCGCCTGGAAAGTGCTTACCCTCTGAGGATCTCTTGCCTCAGCCTTCCAAAGTGCTGGGATTAAAGGCGTGAGCCACTGCCCCCGGCCCTAAGTTTAACATTTTAAGACACTGTGTATGGTTCGCTTTTCACCCCAGATACTTCCAGCAAGATGTTGTAAAGACTGCTAACATGTTCTAAAGTGTGCTTTGAGGCCTTCAGGAAAAAAAGACAGTTGGGGGAGTGGTGGAAAGGCAATTCAGGACAAGAAGGAGGGTTAGGATGACATTTTCATTTCAGTGCACTCTGGGAAACAGCAGGTCCCAATCCCTTCACTCTCCAGTTCCCATTCTCCCCCTCACGTCACACAGGACCCACTGCTGACTCGGTGTCCCCCACACAGTGCCTTTGGGTTCTTGAATACTCTAAACTGAATAATAAGGTGAAGGTGACTGGGCGCCGTGGCTCACGCCTGTAATCCCAACCTTTGGAAGACTGAGGTGGGCAGATCACCTGAAGGCAGGAGTTTGAGACAAGCCTGACCACCATGGTGAAACCCATCTCTACTAAAAATACAAAATGTATCCAGGCGTGGTGCCTCACACCTGTAATCGCAGCTACTCAGGAGGCTGAGACTGGAGAATCGAACCCAGAAGGTGGAGGTTACAGTGAGCCAAGATTGTGCCACTGCACTCTAGCCTGGGTTACAGAGCAAGACTTTGTCTCAAAAAAATAAAAATGAAAAAGGTGAAAGTTCCAGTTTATTCACCACCCAGTACGTTCTGCCGCATATATACCTTCAACCCAAAAAAAAAAACCCTCTGCAAAATGTAAACCCCTAACCAATTTGTCTCTATTTTCCTCAGGGGACACTTAAACTGGCTTCAACTAGATCGAAGAGTATTGGAACACGACTTCCCTAAAAAGTCAGGACCCGTGGTTCTATACTTTTGTGTCAGGTATGTACACCTGGTGTCCACACTTCTTCTCTGTGTTCTCTAGCAGAAAACTCTGGGAGGGCAGAGTGATTCCAAGGAATCTGGACATCCTCTGTCCAGAACAGAACAGAGGAATGGGCGCTCAGGTTTGTCCTGGATCATCACCAGCGATAAAGGTTGTAGCAGAGCTGGCGTGCCTCACAGATGGAAACGCAAGGTGCGAGGGCGCAGGGTGTGTCTGTGAGTGTGCAAGCACGTGTGTTGTGTATTTGCACTAGGATGCTTGGGTGTGGAATGACAAAAGAAAACTTTTTTCTGCATTTTTGGGGAGGGTCATGTATCTCCAACAATGAGTCTCTTAGAGCACAGGCCACGGGATTCTCTTTTGGTGGTAATTTGAAATGATGTAACAAAAGCCTTTGTATTCTTTCCTTTTGGAAGGGATGCCACTTGAATCTCTTGAAATGTGGGAAGTTTATCCCAAGTAGGAGTAGTCAAAAGCCAGCAGCAAACCACAAGCCCATATGCATTTCCTGGCAAGGGAGTATACAGCTGAATAACACAGCAGAAACAATGGGCATTTTTCTATTCATCAGTCTAGTCTAAGAAATCTTGTGCTTGCAAAGGGAACTATTTGTGGGATATAGTGATTTCAAGAGTTAATACTTGCAGCAGGCTTATGAAGACAGCAGGACTTGTAACTTCTGTTTGCAAAAGGTTGTGAAAAGCCAGAGGCTGGGAAGGTCGGGGGTTCAGGGGCAGTCTGATTCAGTAGCAAAATTAGAATCTGAGCTCTTAATCCAGCGGCTCCGAAACACCCAGTCTGTGAAGCCACCAGGTTCTCTCTGTCCAGAACCTTCACTGCAACACAGTTGCAGAAGCATTGAGGTCCTGATGCCTCAGTCTTTACATGGACTCTAATACCTGTGCCCAGCCCATTCACCCTGTTCTTTTAAAATATGCTAACAGAAATTCAGGAGCGAGGTAAAATGATAGGCAATTCTGTCATTCCTAAAGAGCATGATCAGGAATGCAGTTCCAGACGTAGCCATCCTTAAGCCACACAAGGCATCGGAAGAGCTTAAAACCAGAGTTAAAGGGTCCACTTAACAGGCTCAAGTGTATGACTTTTCCTCAGCTGGCAGAGTAAATTTCAACTTGAGGTTAATGCGTTTTTGATTTGTTTAACAGCTGTGAACGTATTCAGTCTCATCTTAGCTATTTCCATTACTGATGGGAATGATTTCAATGCCATATTCTTTTTAATGGTGTATACAGTTTCTCAGATTAATGGAAAAGCAACCATATAAAAAGCAAAGAGTAACAATTCCGCTGGGAGTGGCAGGTATCAGGCGGGACTCCCGTGGAAGCAGGTCACTAACCTGTCATCGCAGGTGGGTGAGTGCATTTACGGTGTATCAGGCACTCCCTGCCTCCCTGGTGGTTTTCGCCAACGTGAGCCAAGAAGAGGAAATCCTGGGCTTGGCTGCACAGTAGGTGTTTTTTCCAAGTGTCTGAGTTATTTGTGGGGGTCCTTGCAGGAGAGGTTGGGGCACCTTGACATGGGTGGTGGAAGTATCGGTCTCTGAGAGATACAGATCTTTCCAAATCACTCCAAGCCTGTCTTCTCTGCGTGAAAGCAGGTAGCCCAGCATTGCAGAGGTGACATAGGTGCTAGCAATAGAGAGAATCAGGGAATGGGATGGCTAAGACCCAAATACAGCATCCACTTCTGACTCATAGCCATCTTAGATGTTTCCACCATCACCACCCTTTTTCCTAGCTGGACAAAACAGGAACTTCACAGAACGCCCATTAGAGAGAAAAACTTCCAAATCTGCATTTAGGGACAGCCATTCTCCACTACGTTGTTATACACACCATCTAGCAGAACGCTGCTCCTCCTCCAGCTCCTATGAAGGCAGATCTTTCTGGAAAGCTGTCACGTTCCAGCTGCCTCCTGCAGAGCCCCACTGGAGTACTTCAAACTCAGCAGGTCCAGAGCCAAATTCATTCTCTTGTCTCCTCCGTTAACCTTCCACGGTCCCATCAAATCTATGGCATCCTCATCCACTCAGTCACACAGGCTGCACATGTTGAAGTCTTCTTTTCTCTTCCTTGAATTTTGTTTGGTTGGTTGGTTGGTTGGTTTTTGAGACTGAGTCTCACTCTGTTGCCCAGGCGGGAGTGCAGGGGTGCGATCTTGGCTCACTGCAACCTCCGCCTCCTGGGTTCAACTGATTCTCCTGCCTCAGTCTCCCAAGTAGCTAGGATTACAGGTGCCTACCACCACACCCAGCTACTTTTTGTATTTTCTGTAGAGATGGGGCTTCACCATGTTGGTCAGGCTGGTCTTAAACTGACCTCAGGTGATCCACCCGCCTCGGCCTCCCAACCTAGATTTTTTTGTTTGTTTTTATTTTGTATCCAGCAAAAACCAACCGAGAATTTTTATGCGCATTAATTCTCTGCTGCTGCTTACAAAATCTCCCTCTGCACTGCCCTCTCCTCTTTGTTACCTGAACTCAGGCCCTCACCTGTCAGTCAACCTACTGCAGCAACCTACAAGGGTAGGGTGGAGGGTGGGTGTCACCAGGATCCCAGCCGCAGAGGATCCTGGCACCCTCACTATCCTGAGTTCTCACTTCTCAGCTAGTCGAGCAGTGTAGTAACAAAAAAAAACAGTCATTCTGTTTTCTCCAAGAGAGGAGACAGATTCTCTGTATAAGTTAATTTCATCTTTTTGCCTTGCTTTTCATCCTGGGAAGAATTCTGTGTTTATAACCCAACACCTGCCTAGGGATGCTCACAGGCAGTTTTCTCCAAAGGAGTGGTAAGAGAATCATCTTCATCAAAAGCCCAGAACTTGGAATAGCTTCAGTCCATGAAAGAGCTTCTGTCCAGCTGATACCTTTCCTGTGTGTTTCTAAACAGCAGCATGGTTAGGCTCTGAGCAGCCTCCACACTCCAGCCGTGACACCTGTCGATCTTGATGCAGTCTGACTCCCAGGTTCCTCAAATCCTTTCTCCTTTGGTATAAATGTCTATATATTAGATCTACATACCACATGTCCAGGTGGCAAAGCATTTGATAAAAGAGAGCCACGGTAGGCCAGGCGTGGTGGCGCACACCTGTAACTCCAGCACTTTGGGAGGCCAAGGTGGGTGGATCACCCAAAGTCAGGAGGTGAAGAGCAGCCTGGCCAACATGGTGAAAACACTTCTCTACTAAAAATGCAAAGATTACCTGGGCATGGTGGCATGTGCCTGTAGTCTCAGCTACTTGGGAGGCTGAGGCAGGAGAATCACTTGAACCCGGGAGGTGGAAGGGAAGTTACAGTGAGCCGAGATCGCAACACTGCACTCCAGACTGGATGACAGAGTGAGACTCCATCTCAACAATAATAATAATAATTGCCCGAAAAGGATAGAGGTCGGAGACAGCCACTATCCATTGCGCATCACCTGTCCATTGCTAAGGGTGATTGTTAATCTTTGCAGCAACCCTTTAAGCAGGTCTGATTATTCCTACTTAAAGATAAGGAGTTGGGAGCCCGGGATGGTCCGTAAATTCTTCCCCAGCATGGCTAGTAAGTTACAGAGGCGAGATGAGATCTCATCTGTTCCGTTATGTCTGCCCTCCCCCACTGCACGGCATCCATCTACACAGGGGAAATGACTCCCTCACTGCGGCCAGCAATCTCCACTGCTCCCTCTGCAGGCAGGCCAGGAGCAGCCAAGTCAAAGGCGGTGACCCCAGCCCACGTCACCCACACTTTGCAGAACCAGTGTCTGCCTGCAGAGATGGTGTTCAGGATAGGCGCACACCAGCACCAGGGACAGAGCCTGCCTGGTTCCAGCCTGGTTCCAGCACTACCCAACCCAGAGCTCCCCTGGCAGAGCGCCCCCGCACGGGGACAACCACAGTCACAGGTCTTGGCAGGCTGCCACTCTGAAGGGATACGCTGAATCTCTTGGAAATGTCACACTGGAGGAGGAAGAGCCATCTCAAATGGTAAAGCCAGGATTTTCAGGAGCCAAAACATCTGCTGTTGGTCCCACTTAAGAGGATCTTGCCATTTTCTGCGTTTTCGGGCACAGCGGACGCCCACGGGAAGGTGTGCTTTGTGGAACTGCACTCTTCCCTCTCCTAGAAAGAAAACTCCAGGGTCCACTTGCACCTTGTCATCACCCTGAGCTGTGTCACCCCCAACACTTACAAACCCAAGTTCACCATCATCCCAGCTGTGGAGTACAGCAGCTTTCTCACCGCTCCTCCTGTGCCATTTCTGCACCATCATCCACGCCTTCATTAATGGCCTCACAGATGTCCCTTGAAATGTCCCTTGGTAGAAGCACTGCTCTAAGAGCCAAGGACAGAGCAGTGAACAAAACTGATCAACCCTGTTCTCAGGCAATTTCACATCCATTTCCCCCAGCTTCTGAGATCCTATCAGCCCTGCCTTTTTTTTTTTTTTTTTGCCAATTCAGTGCAAATCCATTGTGCACCCTTCCAGCCACTTCTTGGCCCTGGACCACAACTTCCTTTACTGCTCACACACACTCTCTCTCCCCCTTTCTCTCTCTCTCACACACACACACCCTCCCAGGGTTGGACAGGTCCTGCTACACACACACCTTTTATTTCTACCCATGAGCTTCTGAGTGTGGTCAGGAAAAGGTTCACGCAACTTCAGGTTGGTTCATGGTGATTGTGATGAATCCCACACAGATCATCAGTGTGTCTAGCCAGTTCTGCCCGGGGTGCCTGCTCAGGATCTCTGTTTCCCACTCTGGTTTTACCTCTTGCTGCAGGCTCCAGATACTCAAGGCTTTTGCTCTAAGACAGTGGTGCTGCTTATGTTTCTGCAGACAAAACAAAAGCCAGCACTGGGAGCTCCTAGTCCTCCTTCTTGACCCACAGGCTTAGTTGTATCTGTGATTGTGTTTTTGTGGCCTCCCAACCCACCCACTGCACACACGCAAATGCATGAGCATCTCAGAGAAAGCCCTTTAGCCCA